TATTCTCATTTCATCAACTCTTTATTTTCAGAAACTTTCAGAAAGGAAACTCTTTTTGAGAAAACTCAGGGTTTTGATACAAATGACACTAGCAAATTGGTGCCAAACCTAACACCACTGATGGCTTACAGGGTGATGTCATTATTTAGAAGAGTGATTTGTAACATTCCTGAGATTTTGAAGCTCTGTTTCATGAACTTTGTGAACTTAAAAGAATTTGCAGTCTTTGAAATAGCAAAAAAAAAAAAAAAGTATGGTTTCTCAACACCAGCAGCAAGTCAGATATTAGTTCACCATTATTTCATTAGACCAGCACATCAACATATATGTGTGCATGTATGTATGTGTATATCTGTGTGTGTGTGTGTGTGTGTGTGTGTGTGTGTGTGTGTGTGTGTGTGTGTGTGTGTGTGTGTGTGTGTGTGTGTGTGTGTGTGTGTGTGTGTGAGAGAGAGAGAGAGAGAGAGAGAGAGAGAGAGAGAGAGAGAGAGAGAGAGAGAGAGAGAGAGAGAGAGAGAGAGAGAGAGAGAGAGAGCACATATTCACAGAAAAATGGATGGATGGATACATACATTCATATATGAAGTGATATATACATAGAAAGACAGATAGATATATACACACATACACTGTATATACATTAAATTGGTGAACATCAGAGCACAATGCAATATTATGTTGTGGTACTGATAGAAAATTCAATAGTGGGTTTCACAATTACTTAATTCTTCTGAAATTCAGACAGATTTTCCCAAAGCATTTCCTGAAGCAGGCTTTCAGCAGCCACTATGAGCAAATGCTTTTGGAGCCAAAAGCATGTTTGATCGATCAATTCAGCTTCTGGAATGCTCTGGGCTTTAAAAGCATCCTTGGTAATACAAACTTTGAGCCTAAGCTTTGAGAAATAAGTCAGTTCAGTATTAGGTAAAATTACCCAGATTCCTACTACCAATTTCCAAGGATCAAGCAACAAAATAACTGAAAATCATATTCCCTAATTTTAGTAAGTATCCATATTTGTTTTAATTTTTCACACCCCTACATTTTTCTCATGTTCCATCAGATTTTCATATTTATTTTCAAATCTTTAAAAAAATGCACACTATTCTGAAATACACAAAACAAATGGAAAACTAACTGAATATATGAAAAAATGTATCTTCTTGCATCCTAAAACAAATCAATATTATTATCTAAATAAGTCAATACAGGCAGTGTGATACCAATGCTAAATGAATTACAGATTGTGAATATAAAAAAAATAATAATAAAAAATATTCTCCATCACATCACAACAACTGATGGCAAAGAAAAATAGAAAGTACATCATGTGTTCCTATACATCACTATACAACACTGGCATTATCAACAGATGATGTCCTGCTGATAGTAATTAAGCATCAAAATATATTTCACTGAAATTTCCTACCTCATTCTCAGCTTGACTTTGCATTTTCCAAGAAACTTTCCAAGTAAAGAGATTTCATTCTAGTAAAAATCATCCTGAAGAGGCACCAAGACTGGACGTCTACTTAATGGAGAAGTTAGGTCACTGAATAACAAAGATAACAAAGTGCACACACATCAATATTCTTAAAAAATAAATAAATAAATACGAGCTGTCACATGAAATACAAAAGGTCTGCACCTAACAAGAAGGTGCAACTTAGGTGGTACACTGTGTTTGTAGTTTGTAACGTCTGCAATATACAGAGAAAGCATGACAATTCTTTTTTTGTTTGTTTGTTTGAGTCATAAAGTTTATTAGTGATTGTGATTGGGAACTGAGCAAAACCAAGTTAACAAAATAATGCACAAATATTAACTATCTACTTACATACCCTAGCATCAGATTATTCAAGACATTTGTGAAATTGATTCTGGAAAATAAATATTTAAATCAACCAAAAATCTGCATACCACTCTAACTGCAGGCAAACCTCTACTTTAAGGCAATGTTGGTCATTCAACATTATATTCCGGACTAGGTTAGGATCAGTTAAGTCAACTACCCCGTATGTTCTCTAGGGTCTGTTATACTGATAAGGACACTTGGCGATCAGCATTATCCTTGAGAATAATAGTACATTAAAATAGTCCACATCTTGCCTCAGGAAAGTAAGAAATTCATCATGGATAATGAATGTTGATACTGTTGTTTGAAATCACTTGGAACTATCTTGCTTAAAATGCCCTTCAGTAATTTTTCAAATATTCCTGATCTCTAATCTCTCTCTAAAAAGAGCTTGTAAATACTTTGACCAACAACTTCATTATGCAGCCATTTATATATATAAATGCAATTCAGCACTTTTCTGATATATCTGGATACCTTCAGCCCTGACTCAACTCATGATCTAATTTGATCAAGGAAACTTGGCAGTTATCAGGCAGCTGTACTAATCAAAAGCTGTTTTTCTATCCTTGGTTATGAGAGAGATTTGTTTTAAGATCAGTATAATTACTCAATAAAATAATGTGAATGAAAATAAATAAACCTTACTGCATATATTTCTCTTCCATTAAAAGTTTCATGGTACTCTGTCACCTTCATTACCAGTTTTCATGAAGTTGAAATATACGCAAAGGTAACCTATCAATCTTGGTCCTACATGATCATCCTGATTTCATATTATTGCAATCATTTTCAATATTTCTTAATTACTTCTATTTCCTAAGTAAAATAAAAGCAAAAGCAGAATATTCATTAGATAATTTACTGCTTTGCTTACTAACTTAACCTGTAGGTACCTAGACTTTACCTTCAAGATAATGTCACTGTTAATATACATTCATGTACAAATCACTGTGCATATGAACAGGTTTCATGCCTGTTCATATGTCTACACACACAATTATTAATGTTTATAGATATAAGTATAAGTATAAGTATGTGTATATCTATCTATCTATCTATCTATCTATCTATCTATCTATCTACCTATCTATCTGTCTTTATCTATTTATATATACATATATATATTTCTCTACAATTAAAAAGATTTGCATCTCGTGAGAGAGAGAGAGAGAGAGAGAGAGAGAGAGAGAGAGAGAGAGAGAGAGAGAGAGAGAGAGAGAGAGAGAGAGAGAGAGAGAGAGAGGGGGGGGGGGGAGAAGGAGGGAGGGAGGGAGGGAGGGAGGGAGGGAGGGAGGGAGGGAGGGAGGGAGGGAGGGAGAGAGAGAGAGAGAGAGAGAGAGAGAGAGAGAGAGAGAGAGAGAGAGAGAGAGAGAGAGAGAGAGAGAGAGAGAGGAGAGGGAGAGGGAGAGGGAGGGAGGGAGGGAGGGAGGAGAGAGAGAGAGAGAGAGAGAGAGAGAGAGAGAGAGAGAGAGAGAGAGAGAGAGAGAGAGAGAGAGAGAGAGAGAGAGAGAGAGAGAGAAATTTTAATATTCCTATATATTTGTATATATAAACACAACTTAATATTGCAAATGATTATCAAGAAAAATTATACAATCTGTATAACAGGTGTATGGTACAAAGCATAGGTTATGTTAATTTGAAATTTAACTCCACAAAATTCCATGTCTTATATTCACTGGTAAAAGCTAAGGATAGACACTAGAATAACCCTCTTATTAAACAAGACACATTATCAAATAGTATACTTATCTACAAATTCTACCTTTGGCTTACCTACATATTCCAACTTGCTCAAGGTTGAAAGCATTTACCTCTCTCTTGTGCTTTTGCTTATTTTGTTATGTACATGACAGTAATGATAAAACTTTTCATTCTAAAAAAAAAATTGTTTATTTTCTAAAGAAATATAATAGATATGTAAAGACAAGGTAAAAAAAGTAAGAAGGAAAAGAAATAAAGACAGGAAAATATTCCCTTAAAAATACATAAAATGCAACTACTATTTTTTGCAAAATAATTTGATCATGAACACAGAGTACAAAAATATATAGTAATAACAAAAATATGTTGCTAATGACCTGTTCTTCTGCAAATGAACAAACTACAGAAATACTGGAATAAGAACACAACTAACCTCAACCTCTTATTACTTTACAGTTGCCCTGCATTTATTACAGACAAGAAGCACAGAGGACTGCATCTCTAATTCTATACCAACAACAAAGCCTTCTTTACATTAGACTCAGCATTGGTTACAAGAAAAGAAAGAAAAAACATTCAATTAGGAACCAAGACAAATCCACAGATTAGTTTAAACTTTTCTGCAGTGAATTAGAATTTGCTCCCCCTCTCCCCTCCTCCCTACTCCCCATTCATTATCCCTTCCTCATTTTTTCTAAATTACAATTATTGTTTGCTTATCCTAAAAAATTATAGATAACTTTCTCTTTCAAAAGGAAAATCATAATGATAAAAATAAAATGTTCCTTACACAACTGACAACTTGTTATGAGATCTGCCCATAGGAAGTGGACTTCCTGGTAGTGTGTCCAGCACCCTACAGCGTCATGGAGCAAAAGAAATTCATCTTTAATATCAATAGAATATTTGGGTTATTTTTTTTCTTTTGTGTTTAATAACAGTGTAAGCTACAATCATGAAAAAGATTTTGATTAAAGAAATTATGTAAATAAAAATCAAGTGTCTATTTTAGAAACCTCACTATTTCTTTATCAGTTTATTTTCTATATTCCATCCCTTCCCATCTCTCATGGACTGAACTTAGATGATAAATAATTATAATAACAATAACAACAATAATAATAATAATAATAATAATAATAATAATAATAATAATAATAACAATAATAATAATAATAATAATAATAAAACCAATAACAACAATAACAATAATAATAATAATAATCATCATCATCATCATCATCATAATAATAATAATAACAATAATAACAATTATCATTATAATAATAAAAATTATAATAATAATAATAATCATAACTCAAAACACATAATAATGATAACAATAACAATATGAAAAATAACAATGATATAATAATAATAATAATAATAATAATAATAATAATAATAATAATAATAATAATGAAGATAAAAAATATAATAATAATAATAATAATAATAATAATAATAATAATAACAACAACAATAATAATCATCACAACAATCATCCTCGAAACTGATTAAAAAAGGTTCATGGACTGAAACTGGGATTCAAATGCATACCAACATGCAGAATCATCACAAAGATATATAGTTTACTTGTCAAACTGGAAAGCAATCCCTTCCATGTATCTGATCATGCTTAGGTTCTGGAAAATGCAAATTTAAATTTATAATTAATACATTCCAAATACTGATCACAGAAACCAGTTATAAATCTATGGATGTATATGGTACACAATGCACATGGTAGTTGCATTTCTTTGTAATACAGCAGAGATTACACAGAGTTAATGTTTCTATAAAAAAGTAATTAAATAACTTTCATTCCTGCATATGCTGACAGTCATAACAGCAATATTCCTTTGTGTGTCTTGCACAGCTCTAGAAGGATCCAACTTAGCATCTCTACTACTCTCCACTCTTAGACAAACTTGTCTAGCAAAGCTGAGGCTGACCTTTCCAACTCCCAGCTGTTGGCTTCCAAGATCACCTCACACTCATCTTTGCTCGCCACACCCAGTCTGGAAAAGAAGTTAAAATTAGTAGTGAGAGTGACAGAAAGAGGGAAGGAGATAAACAGAAGAAAGGAGTCAAAGAGGAAAAGAAAAAAAACAAATAGACAAGCAATGATCAAGCCATTAATTTATTATGAAGGGGTATGTTAGATAAACAGAGAAGCTTACAGTAAGCAAGAAAACTTTCCCAAAATTATGCTGACCTGTAAAGTTTTTCCACCTTTAGGAAGCGCACAGCACCCTGGTAATCCCCACTGGCAACATGTAATGCCTGCCTTGCTGAAGCCTCGCTCGTACCAGGAACCACAGCAGCAACCCGGCACACAAGAGCCTCACCCCCTGCGGCACCACTACCACCACCACTGGCACCACCACTACACACCATCTGAAACCCAAAGACTAGCCATAGCAAGCAAGTAAAAAGAAAGAGGAGAAACTATCTACAGTACAGCATGAAGCATTCAGTTTCATACCATAAAAATAACTGTTTCTTTTCATTAAACCTATCAAGTTTACATCATTACACCATACTGAATTAAGATTATAACACTGAGACTGAGAATCATTAATAATTAAGAACTAAGAAAATAAATAAATTGTGAATAAAATCTCTGAAAATATAAACACACTACATGACACACTTGCAGGTGAATATGCAAATTTGCTCTCATAAGATTGTTAAATATTATCTAGCAAAAAATATATATACAATAGATCAATCAATAAATAAATAAATTAATAAATAATAATAATTCAAAAAAATAATAATAATAATTCCTTTAAAGGTCTTGTGCAAAGTTTATAACTGCTTAGCCTAAGTATTTCACATCACATCATGATTCATCACTTGACTCCGATAGCTGGGGGCTCGAATGGATCGGATCAAAGCTCCTCACTGGTCAGAGCCATGCTGAGGAGCATAGATTTTTTTTACCCAAATATATTTAAATTGTTTGAGTTATAAACATACAAATCCATTATACAGAATTTCTTTAGCTAAAGAGCTAAAAATTGCCCAAAAATATGCAGTTATTAAAAGAAAGTCAAAGTTAGTTACAGAGCAATGAGTGATATTTGAAGCAAACATGGGCATTCAATTGTTCTCAGTCAATATGTCAATTCATGAACTTTTTAAAATCATTGTCTGGCTTTATTTTACATGCTTCAGAGATTGCTAATAAAATATTACTAAAGCTCATATTTGGCACAAGCACATTACATGCCTATTCACTCTTATCAGTTTATTATTTCTATATTAATTTGCCAAGTTAAGCTTTTCGTTGGTCACTATACTTTGGGGTATTCCTAAGTCATAACATTTTTCTCTGGTTGAGAAAATATTTGAAAATTATGAAATTGTCACAATAAATAAAGAATTATTAAGTAAGGTAGGCAACTGTCTGATGATACAAAGCCTCAAACCACAAGTAGGCCACCACCTTTGCCTGTGTGCTAGAATAGTATTTGGGCACCTTAGCCCACTGAGCCATCTAACCCCTACAATCCAGAAGACATGACCCTCAAATCAAAAAAATATGGCTTGCAGTCAGGTAACATAAGTATTTTGGCTGAAGAGCAGGGTGATGATAAAGACTCACCATGAGTGCACAGAGCTCTTGGAGGGTGATTAGATTCATTTGGCATTTCAGAAGAGGCTTTTGCAGTATTTCCACAGATAAATAAGTGTGGAATATAATGCCTGTGAGCCATGACTGAAAGAGTGCTGGCTTATGGAAGGATACAATTTCCATGCTGCCTGGCAGCACAGGTTGTAGTCCGGAAAATTTAATATGATTTTTTTTTACTACACAAATAAAATGTTACTTATTGTTATTATTGCTTCCCACCTTTATTTGGGGAACTGCCAGGGAGGGTAGCAGAAGTGGCATCCACCCTGAGAGGCTACCTGAGGTTTGGCTTCACACAGGTGTCCAAGTGGGGCATGGAACATTTGCTCTTTGTGGTAGGAAGACACTGCTATCAACAGAGCTGAAGTGGCTGAGGTTGTGTTGGCTGCCTCTTAGGAGTGAGATGACCTGGCAGCAGCTTTGGGTCGGGTGTTTATTACACCTATTAAAAACAGGCATTGGTCAAACCACAGCAACAGTCACCACCTTCATGGAATAGCCAAACCATCTTCAGCAGATATCAGCCTTCTGTAGTAGAGGTAACTCCAGCTGATGAGCATATAAAGGTATTGAGACTAATGCATGCATCTGGATTCAAGTCTCAAAGTGCTGTGAATACTTCTATCAATGTAGAGAAACCTATGGGAAAGTGTTCTATATCAATTCTTCTTCAATGGTGTCCTCAATGGCTGCAGTGATTAAGCATACTAAAAGATGTCTGACAGTCCCCAAAGCTCAGAAGCTTATACCGGTAGTGAATATAGCCACCTTCACTAGGACTTTAGAAGGTCCTAGAGATTCCTGGTTCCTGGTACTAGCCCTCCATTGCTAGAGGAGGCACTGTGATATAGGTAATGTTGCCAAGGAGATCAACCACACCTTTGTTAGCACTAATAGAAGCTCCTTCTGAACTGCATGGCTTATTGGGGTGTCAAGTTCTGTGGCTTCAGATCCACTTTAAAACCTATAGGGTAACAGAGCAGTGGATATCTGAGGTAAAGCTTTACAGACTGGAGCTGAAACCCATGGCTTGTGGATTGCATGCTCTCCTGACTGCTATCTGGAAGTCTAGCACTATTTCCCCAAAGCTGTTAAAGGGCATGATCTTCCCTCTCTGGAAGGGGAAAGGGGACTACTAGGACTGCAGCAAGTACCATGGTATTACACTGCTTACATACCAGGCAAAGTGCTCACTTTCATCATACTGAGGCACCAGAGATCAGCAGTGAAGCAAAGACCATAGATTTTGTGGAACTGCTAGGGGAACTAGTTAGATCCATACATGATTGCAGCAAAGACACAGAAGTCATACAGAGCTTTACATATCTTGACAGCGTAATGCATGACTCCGGGCTGTCAGACGCAGCAGGTATCACAATCTAACTTGACAAAGGTGTTTGGAGAATCTGTGCAGAAGGACCGAGCTACAAACTTTCAAGCTTATAATAATGCCTGTCTTGCTGTATTGAAGCAAAACTGAAACTGTATCCCATGCCTTAGAGTCTCATTTTGATATCATTTGCAACAGGTCCTTACACTGGATCATGTTTACACAATTCAGGACTGCCAAATCAGGTTATATAGACACTTGGCTTGACTTTCTATGGATGATCCTGCCCACAAGGCTGCTCCACTAAAGACAAGCCTGGGTAGAGGGAGCCCCTGGGACAACCTAGGATGATGTGGCTTGGCAAATCAATCAGGCTGGACACAAAGGGTGAATGAAGAAATGTGTTCACCTTGGAATCAGCCCTAAAGTTTGATTGACTTGATGATGATGATAAGGAGGATAAATGTTGATGATGAGGAGGATGATAATTGTTGATGATGATGAGGATGATGATATCAATAATAATGATAGTATCAATAGTAATGATGATGCCAATAGTAATGATGACATCAATAGTAATGATAATATTAACCCAATGTCAACGGAAAATGCTGTGCTCATTTTAGAATTTTCTATGAAATGCCTTTGCACATAGATGGCTCTGCTAGTGCTTAGCCACAAAGGAGCCAATTAGTAAACCTTGTAACTTTACCTGATTTCACCTTTCCTTGAATTTCTGGGAAAAATATCTTTTTATTAATGCTATCAATATCAATGGTTTTATCTTTATTATTGACATTAGTAGTGGCAATATAAGAAAACAAAATATTTTTTAAAATCAAGGAATAAGGTAAAGAGGTGAGACAAGTAGCAGTCATAATTGGCTCATTGGTGACTTACAAGTGGAGCCATCAAAGTGTAAAAATAATTTTAAAAGTAAACGCAAAGTGGGCACAGCATGCATGTACATGCCACACCCGTTTTGAGTTAATAGTAATGATATCAATAGTAATGATAATATCAGTAATGATAAAAAATGATAACATCAATAAAGATAAAAAATGATGATATCTATAATGATAAAAAATGATGATATCAATAATGATAACAACAATGATAATATCAATAATGAGGAGAAAACTGCTATTACTTCAATAGCTGTTTCACAAAGTTTCTCAGTTCTGTTTTTACTGATATTTCATTTTATTATTGCTTGTTTGTCAACAGTTTTATTGAAGTGTTTATTAACTTATCACTGTGTCATTGTTCCCCTCCATTTACCAGTTTAGTGATTGTTGTTTAAAGAAAGAACAGGCTACCAGAACAAAAACAGGAAAACAATCCCAAACTGCCAATTGCCATATTGCCCTTTCACCCCAACCCCCTTGCCCTTATGAACACAAAGCACCAGGATAATGGCCATAGACTTCTCAAAACTGCTGAAGAGATCAGACACTTTTTTTACATGGTAATAGTTGTTTCCTACATATAGAAGACTTATAACACCTACAGTTATTATACATAAGTACCATCCATCTCTAGATGGATTTTGTGTTGATTCTCAGTGAAGTGAAGTGAAGTGAAGAGTGTTGTTTTTATCATGAATTTTGAAGAGGCAAAGGCCGTCTTATGTGGCACCACGTTGGTGGTGAAACTACAGCTCAGATGGAATGGCAATTATTTTTAGTGCTTCATTCCTTGGCCATATATTATGTACTCGCTATAAATGCAAAAACGTTTTGGAGGTAATTTGACTCTAGACATTTCGATAAAGAAATGAAATGTCAAGGGCCATGATTTTATTATATATATATATATATATATATATATATATATATATATATATATATATATATATATATATATATATATATATATATATATATATATATATGTATATATATTATATACATATATCTATATATATTATATACATATATCTATATATATATATAAACATATATCTATATATATAAACATATAACTATATATATAACTATATATATATAACTATATATATAACTATATATAACTATATATATATAACTATATATATATATATATATATATATATATATATATATATATATATATATATATATATATATATATAATATTGATATATGTATAATATATATATATATATATATATATATATATATATATATATATATATATATATATATATATAAAAGTGTGTGTGTGTGTGTGTGTGTGTGTGTGTGTGTGTGTGTGTGTGTGTGTGTGTGTGTGTGTGTGTGTGTGTGTGTGTGTGTGTGTGTGTGTGTGTGTACATACATCCATATATATACATATATATATATATATATATATATATATATATATATATATATATATATATATATATATATACATATATATAAAAATATATATATTTATATATACATATATATACATATATATACA